ATTTACATATCACCGCATATCAAATGAACAGACATTCATAAAATAAAACACTATTTTAGGTGAAATCAAATGCACCACACGCTGCTGCAGGTGGAGGAACTGGAGATACTCCAAAAATAAATATATTTATGTTACGTGGATAAATGGCTTTAACATAACCACCCAAGTAGACGTTCAAAAGCATATTCGACATTCCCTGCTTTTTACACTAGCACTGAGAAGGAGTCTAGTCACAAGGCATGATTTAAACATGTAGAAATCACAAGAAAAAGGCATTTGTTCTCCTGCCAAGCATCATTTAAACTATTTCTGAATCAAATAATTCCATCCATTAAGAATGTAACATAGGATCATGCTTTATTTCATCACAAAGTAGGCAGCAGTCCTCTGTGCCTGCGTAAAGGACAGAGGATCGGAGCGTTCCTCTGGGCCTGGCAGACTGCAGCTCCTGCACCCCTGCACTGTGGCATCAGTATTCCAGGCCCGTCCGTGGACACAGCGTTCCCTGAGCTGACGGAGGCCGCCCTGCACTCTGTCTCCCATCACTCCACCAGAGGGCAGAGCACGGCGCTCCATTTGCTTCACGCATCCCAGAGCACTTTGTGTGCTGTAGCCTACTTTGGTTCCTGCTCTTTATATTTCCCTCTCTCTTTTTTGTTGAAATGCCCTCTATTCAGAGCTGGATTTAAAAGCTTCAGATGATTTGTAAAATAGCAGTGACATAGCTCAGACTCTTTGGTCCATATATTTTTTATTCAGGAAATGGTTAAGCTTCGTACTGCTTGTATCAGCAGAGGGGGGTGATGTGAATGTGTCATGTCAGACTATGTTTGCTCCAATGATTTTTTTTCTTCTTTTTCAGTTGGTTGACCGTGCTTATAGCTCTCTGTTGCCATTCAACTCTGCATGACCCAAAAATAACCCGGGGTTAGCGCAGTCAGCAACTGTTCTCTGGTCAGCACAAACAACAGACACAAACACACTCTTATACATTCCAGATTCAGTGTTTGCACGCACAGGAAAAAGATAAACATTCCTCTGACCAAAAATCCACACACACAAACACATATTTCAGGTTGCATTTTGTTGTCATTGCAGCGTTGACAGTGCATCTCTTCAGCCTTCTTCTCAGTTAACTTAAAGTTGGCTGTAGCTTTCGGAGGGCCCACACTCTGACTCTGTCGCAGAACGTTGTCCAGAGAGAGGTCATTTGCTGATTCGATATGAGGTTATTTAACCTTGCAGCCTGACAGAAACGTAAAGCCAAGCACGGGAACACAGTTCACAGCCAGAAGAGGAGACAGGGTGTTCCTCGTGCCTCGACTTCTCCCTCAGATACCTTCCCTGGAGTGACCCCACCCCAACATCTACCGCTGGGCTGCTCTCCACCCTCTTTTGATCACTGCAGAGACACTGGATCACCACAGCAGGACTAAGGAGAGGAGTGAGTTAAGGTAAGCAGGAGAACAGGCGGTCCTGGGGATGAAAGTTAGTTTCTTCTGAATTACTGACATTGTTAATCCTATTGACAAAGTTAAAGTTTGAAGAGATTCAAGGACGCTTATTGGGCACTACATTTGCAGTGATTCAAGTCAAGTATACGTATACTCACCCACTGAGGTGTTAATAAAAGTTAATAATGCTTGCCAAAAAGTGGCCGTTCAACTTTTTGTCAAAACACTTCAAATGCTAAGGGTTATCATGGCCCAGTAGCTTAGGAAGGACAATAACATGTCGTACAAAAACACACAATATAATGCCATATGAGAGGTTTTCCCCTATCCTCTCTCTTTCCTCTCGTCCTATATTCAATACATGTCACTGTGTGCCCTTGAGCAAAAAGGGCATGGATATCTGGCATTACGGGCCCCGCCCCGACTGGGGGGGGGAAGCTGTCATTAGTTCCGAGAATATCATTAGTATTAGCGCTGGAGTGCCGCCTGACCCTCCCTGACATCACTGTACAGTGTCCAACTCTGTCAGCCTGCCAAGAAATAAATAAATAAAACGGCTTTGACTCTTCAAGGGCATGCCTCACTTCCTCTGGACTCAAGTTCCCCTCTGTGATGGGCCAGAGGAAGAAGAGGAGGAGGAGGAGGAGGGACAGTTTCTTCATCCCACACCTGCACAGTGAATCAACCAGTCAGGTGCTGGATAGACCATAAACCACATTAATGTCACTTGCACCTTTTAGTCCAGTGTTGTTTCATATTTTAAGATATATTGTGTTGTTAGTTTTGCTTTTAACCATTTCACCAGCTGAAACTACATCTTATTGAAATTAGGAAAATCAGCACTCCAACTTCATGACGCATCATGTTTATGCATTTTAAACTTTTGTGTTTGTGTGTGTCATTGACCTGGCCATTGTCTTTCGCAGCGTTCACAAACTGAAGCACCACTTACACATGGTTAACAATAAACTACTCAGTTAGGTTTGGTAAGTTTGAAATGTAAATGTTATATGCTGTTTGGTGATACCAGGCCTGTGGGTTTACAACTGTATCCCAGACAAAAAATAGTTTTACACGAACCAATGCCCGAGACCACTTGAATCTTGAATATGGAACGAGGGCAGAACTTGTCTCCCAATCTGTGGCAGAATTGATGTTTTTTTACACAGCCGTTTACCTGCTGTTTCGCAGATCCAACCTACAGCGAAATATGTGCAAAATGTTACAAGAGAGAAGACAGAGAGACAAGTGGGGAGGATATGCCTAAGAGGAGGCGAGGAAAGGTAGAAAAACCCATGAATTATTCATTGCTGAAACATATTAAAAATGAGATTCAGACACCTGCACAGAGGCAGGTGCTTCTTTATGAGAAAGCCAGTAATCTCTAAGCCTCCTCCCCGACACACACACACTTTCTCTTTAGTGTAATCCGGGCTTGTAGAATGACTTCTGCTTATGAATTCTGAATAAAAATGACTATACATAAAAAAGCCCTATTCATTTAGACTGCTTCGTTGACATATTTCCCCTCTCAAATGTATGGAGAGCGGCTTGTGTCAGTGAACTCAGATAATGGCAAATCAGGATCTCAGCACTTTTTCTAGAAACTTTTTCTTATTTGACAAATCTGCTGGCCTAACATGGAACAGCATATATATATTATCAAACAGATCTGTATACATGCTTTGAATCCCTTTATTTTAATTATTTATTTTGCTAAGAAGGACCTCTTTTTGCACTCAACACATTTATAAAACACACCACAGTCCTCAAGTAGAGAAGAAACCCCTTTTGTCGCACTAATACATTGGCTTTGTATATCTGCATAAGTGAGCACTGTGTCACACGTCACACACTCAGCGCAGTATGTTACCCTGAAAGCCTGGCTTTTAGGGCAACAGTGTGGAAAGGTGTTGGATGTTCTCTTTACAGGGAAATTGCCGGTAGAATAAACCTGGTGTTGTTATTGCAAACCTGTGTTTCTTTCTCACGATTGTCCTAGAAAGACTTCACGACTGTCTGTGTTTTACACAATGTCTTCTCCGAGGCTTCTTACCACGAAGAGAGAAAACAAACAAGCTCACTGGTGTTTACAAGAGCTTTGCAGCCAGCATCAAGTAAGACTCCACTAGAACATTATATTCAATTTGAGCCTTTACATACGACTTATGTATTAACATTACATGGAAAAGGTACATGTCTTATTAAGCATACTTAAAGGCAATGTTGTAGGCATAATTCTTTTTTGGGGTATTTCTAGCCTCTAAGGAAAGAACTTTTTGAAAAATGGCAGAATATATTAAACTCAGCCGTACAACTGGCAGGAAGTTGAGGTTAAAATGTTTTCTGACTCTATTATCCCACTTGCAGGCACAAACTCATCTCCACTTTAGGAGTTTCATCGGGTATGTTCGGTTTGTGACCCCCAGTGGTTGATTACAGCGTGTTATCACCATTTTACAACAACAGGCAGAGGCTGTGGTTTTATGTCTGACAGCTCAGCTTTTATTTTTATGGCTGTATAAAGGCTGATGCCAATATATTTTAGAAAGAAGTTGTCAAGTGCCAATATTATGTGTCGATATTCAGTGTGTGGAAATATTGGCCATTTTCGAGCCCAAAACTGTTTCTTTACGCGTTTCTTCATTTCATGTCTTTTTAGGATTGGTTATCAAATAGAAGCACAAGAGCACACACACAGACACACAAGCAGTGCGATGGCTGTGAGGACTCTACTCATATGATGCTTTCCCAGTGGAGGAAAGTCACCAAGTACATATACTCAAGTACTGTACTATTTCGAGGTACTTAGTTGAGTATTTCCATTTCTGCTACTCCATAACATTTTGTAAGCAAATACTGTAATTTTTACTTAACATTTACTTGATAACTTTAGTTTCTAGGTACTATGTGTATTACAATTCTAACTAAAGTGATAAACACATCAGTGCATTATTAATTATACAGTAATATTGTGATATTCTAAGAGGGGACATACATTTTTACCTTACTGGGGTTGACTTTGTTGCTAGGTATGAAGCATTCTTTCTAAAAAGATTTGTTTGGTTGACTAATACATACAAAAGTGGATGCACTCCAATTGACGATAGGCATATAATGGGAAAGGAAATGAATAGCCCCTTATCCTCATTATCACCAAACTTTTAACTTTTAACAGTCCTATATGCAAAGTATGCAACAAATAGTTTTTTTTTAAGACTCTCTAAGATTTGCTTGTTTCATGTAAGACACTGGGTTTGCTCTTTTTTTTTTAATGGACTCTAAAAATCCTTGAAATCAAACAATCTGGAACTGGAAAGTGTTTGTCAATCACATCCACACTGAGGTCACAACTTGTGATGTAAGTCACAAGCATAATTCATTTGAAGGGGCTCATTTTGAGGACTACTGGTTTACTCATACTGCCGTTCTGTAAAAAGGAAACAGAATTGTAGATCTGATGATGGGACAGCCATAAATGTTAGTACTTAAAAACAAGAACGTAATATATGTTAAAGTGTGTTAGAGACACGCAGTGAAACATGGTGATTTGTTCCCCCTAGGGTTCGTATTTTATTCATCAGGACTTGATGCATCCAAGTATAGGATCATTCGGTTTTGGCACCTTTAAAGAATCATTTTAAATTGAACAACACATTAAAAATCAAAAGAAACAAAGAAATGACTAAGGCTGTGTGAGTTTTAAAAATAAAATACATACATACATATATTTATATATTTATAAATCAATCAACCAAACCATTTAAAAAAGCAGTTTTGTTCAATGTAGATTGTTTGGTTTGTCTCACAAAAGCAATAAGATAAAATGAACTAAATAAATAAAAAATAAGAAAAACACACATGAAAACATTAATACTTTAAATTTTAGCGTCTTTGCTTTTTTTCCCCTTATAATAATTAACTTTTAAAACTTAAGTTTCTCAAGAGCAGATTTGCTGTAATTTTATAGCATGCATTTAATTTCTGAAAATTGTCACTTAGCTTTTCTTGTACTATTTCATATTTAACTTGTTTTTATTTTTGTGTTTGGCGTCCTCTTCTTTTCCTTCCCTCTGCTCCTTCCTTTTTTTTTTTTGTTGAAGTCGTGTTTGGAGTCTTTGTGAACTTTGACCCCTTTGGTTGGCTCTTTCTGTTAAGGGGTTCAAGTCTCCCGTTACGACCCCCCAAAAAAAGAAAGTGAACAGGGACTGAGAAAAAGACGAGAAGGTTCTATTAAAAGAATAGATATTATTCTACTGTTGACTGTCTGTACCTGCCTCTGGTGGCATCAGTCGCCGTGTACTGCTGCCACCTGAAGCCCCTCCTCTTGTTCTCAACCTTCAAATGAACAGATACTAAAAGAGTCATTTCTCATCTTACCAACAGCACTTGGTTAAGTTAACTTGTTTTTTTTTTGTTTTTTGCTTCGGTAAAGTCTGTAACTCTTGATTATTAACGTAATAATTTATTTATAAAAGTAATACATATATATATAGTACCTTTGTTAGAGATTACAGATTGGACTAATTCTTACTGAATCCCAAACTGTAACAATTCACAGTTTTAATGCAAAAAATGAACAAATGAGTCAATAAATAAAGGAGGTGTATATCTGAGCAGTTGGCTTGCTGAGGGGGAGCTTGACATGTTGACAACCAAACATGTGGGGCAAAAGTGTCAAACCAAATGGCAATGAAATCATGAAATCGTTATCTCATAAATGCCCTCCCGCCCTCCCTTTCAGTGCCCAAAAACCTCATAAACAAACCCTGCGCAAAAAATGACAGATCTCACACTCTGACCCATTCTCACTGTTCTGCCATTCAATCCAGGGACACAGCAGATTGTTGAAGCCCTCTCAACAATGGTAATGGAAAAGTCATGCAGCTGAACAAAAAGAACAAATGTCTATAAACATGGAAATCCATCTTCTCCTGGGGCGGACTGCACCCACAGGGGTTCCCGTGTCTCCCGCTCTCCGCTGGCCTGTGTCGACTCCCTCATACCGGCGTGGTGCGGCGGTTCGCTGTGTTGGTCTGGCTCGAGTCTTTCAGGTCCTTCTGGATGGAGTTGTGGACTTGCAGGAAGGTGTGGTCCCTCTCCGAGTTGTAGGTGGCGGTGGGCGTGCCGGAGGACTTGAGGGTGTCCCGGGGAAGCGTGTACATGGAGATCTCCGTGGATGGCAGCGCGCTGAAGCCCTTGAGGCCCACAGGCGAGGTGTCACGGGAGTGTGAGGGGTCTGTGGAGCGGGAGGAGGAGCGCGAGCGACGCCTGTAGCGGTAGCGGTAGCTTGGGATTCGCGTTATGGCCGAGCCTTGGAGGTAGTCGGCTGCACGCGCCCCTATTCGGAGCTGTCGATGCCGGTCGATGAACATGTGCACGGCCAAAACGCCCACCATCTCAGCCATGATGAAGGAGAGGGCACCGAAGTAGAAGGACCAGCCGTAAGAGTAGCTGTTCTTCTTCGAGTCGCTTTTTGAAGGGTCCCCCGCGTTGGCTGATATGTACACAATGATCCCGATGATGTTGCTCAGGCCTGTAGGGTTGGGAGGTAGAAGAAGAAATAAGGAGAAAACACAATGAAAACATGACACAAAGTATCAGTCAGAATGAGCTCATAGTTATTCTTAGTGCATGCTTAACTTATTACGCAGTATCATACCAAATATGTTCTGATTCATGCACTGTACACAGTGTACTAATCCTGTCCAACTCCCCATCCAACATGACTGATCTGAGTCTCCTAATCTTTGCCCTTACAGCGAGAAACAAGGCGGCTTCAATTTTTGATGCAGACCATTTGAGACAGACATAATCCACCACATCATGCATCCACATATATATTTACTCTGACTTGATAGTTAAGTCACACATGAAGAAATGTATGACATGGTAATTCTGGGGGGATGAAATGTAGGGAAAGTGTGTCAGGGACACAATATTTTTAGAAATGAGTCCCAATGGATGGCTTTTAGCCCAGCAACAGAATCAAGAGAAAAGAAAGGAGGACAAGAGAAGGAAGAATAGAAGAAGTGACTTGCAGCTGCATTTCAAGAGGCAACGAACGTAGACTTTTGGATTGATGTGATGGTATATTGTTGATTACTGGAGAAGTAAGTAACGACACCTTTTCATAGCTTAGGTTTTGCACAAAGTCTGTGAACAGCTCACCTGGCTCTTAAGGTAACAAAAACTCCCTAACAACACCTCAAAACGTGTTTGTGTTCAACAAAGAATGTATAATGTGCTTAGGAGGTGTTCGGCAGATTTTGTTACCTTTGGACAGTGCTAGCTTTTCCCCCTGTTTCCAGTCTGCGGTCTTAGCTAAGTTAAACGATAGCTGGCTGTAAAATTAGGCTACAAAATATATTTTGTGTTGATTTTGAAAGCTGCTTTTCGTTGAATAATGAAAGTATGTTATTGTGAAGCCGCTGCAGATAAAGGTAAGTAAAAGTAGAAATATAACAGTGTGGAAATTCTCTGTTAGCTGTCAGATTAAAATACCGTAAAAACACATTGTTTCTCTCTGAATTGTAGTGGATTAGAATATATAAAGTAGCATAAAATGGCAACCATGATGTAAAGTAACTCTTAAATATTGTATCTATCACCAGGTCGTATTAAAAGACACAACTTGCTTGCAGACCAACTGATTCTCTTCTGTTTTCACTTGTGTGCACTTCACTCACCTGCAGACACAAAGAAGATTCCTGCGCTGAGGATGATGTTATGGCGCGCCTTGTAGAACTCACTGGCAGCTATACACAGGCCTCCCATGAAGAGCAGGATGACACTGAGGATGGGGAAGATGCTGGAGGCTCGCACCGCACCTGTATAAATCAGCGGAGGATGGTCAAATAAAAAGGGGGGAAGGAGAGCGAGAAGGGAGAATGGGATGTGATTTTGGTGTTGAGGAGAAGAGCCAAGGGTAGAACAAAGGAAGAGGGGGAAATGGCAGCGGAGAGTGCAAGGATAAAAGAGAAGATGAGTGAAAAGAAACAAAGAGAGGAAAAGCACATTAGAATCCATTTCAGCATCTGCTCCTCATGTGTGAGCACATCCTAATCAACACCCCATCAGGCCTGTGAAAGACTCCATCAACACTGTCTAGTGAGTGTGTATCCCCACAGTGAGCCTGTTACCCAACCTTATGTAATAACACCGCTTCCCTCTCTCCCTCTCTCTCTCTGTCTCTGCACACTTGTCCGCAGCCCACAGAGCTAACTGGCTGCTTTATGTAGCATCATGTGAATGGCAACAAAAGTGCTCTGGGGCTCTGGCATGTATACGAGCCAGGCCGCAGTGCAGAGGGATAAAGCCTGCGTCCTTGAAGTTAAACAGTGTCCTTGCAGCTAATTATCAAGAAGCAAATACTTCTAGGGATATGATGTTGCTTTTCGAGGTCAAACCAGGGTCGAAGATGAGCTGTGCCATCATGTGTACAGGTACAATGAGAGTCATAGTGGAGTTTGAGAAAGCAGCCGGTTGTTGGGGGAAAAAATGAGGAAGCCTTTCATACTCCACCCCCCTCCTCCCCCTTGCCTGTTTAAAATGCACATTTAAACTTTCATCAGGCTGGTTAAATTTTCACCACTTCACCTCATCTCCCCACATGAATGCCGCCTCAGCACTTTCCTAGCTTCTTCCCAAAGTGCTGACTCCGGGCTGGGTGGCTCTGCACTGAACTCGGCCGCCTGCATCTCCACAGGGACCCGCCGGCTCTCCTGGCGGCCCATCTGCCCGCCTGTACCTGCTGCCACTCAATCCCCCCCCCCCCCACCCTTATTTCTAACAGAGATCCACTTATCCTCTACCCCCACCCAACACCCCAAGGCTTTGTTCCTCGGCCCGACTCAGAATGATATTCACCCTTATCCTACAGGCGGGCGATCAACAGATCAACCACCGCTCACCCTCCATTGGGCTCTCAACAGTCACCAACAACCAACAGTAACAGGTTTTGTAAGGTTCATTAATGAAACAATAGGATAACTGAACCACTGCACTGATTGGCATAATATAAAACTCTCCTACTTGAGTGTGAAGTACATTCTTGGCTTCTTACATGAAACTAAAAAAGGTTTCAGAGGAATCTATGGGATACATTTAGCTTGGAAGTTGCATAGTATGCTTTCTGAACTGTATATTCAGGTGCATGTATGAATATTGCACCCATTCCAAGTGCATACTATAAACATGTTTTTTGTACATGTTGCTAAATGGTCTTAAAGGTCCTCTATTATGCAAAATGCACTTTTTGATGTCTTTTATAGATACATATATCACCCCGGTGTGTCAAGAGAATCACAAAGTGTCTGAAAATACAACCCTCTCTCTGTTCCTCCTTACCCACATCTCTAAAAACGATGTAACAGGGCTATGAGGCATGGCTACGATGGGTGATCTGTTTAATATTTTGAGCAAAACATTTCAGAGACATGTTTTGTATAGATATGGCCCTATAATATATTGTTCAAATATAGCATAATAGGTGAGCTTTAAGTGCGCTGACATCATCTGTTTGTCTGGAGTATATATTTCAACAAGTACTGACCAGACTGCCATGTAATTTCATACGGTTACTTGTGTTTCCCCCAAGGCAGAATACTAATGATTTTAGTGACCCTGTGACCTTTCTGCTTGTGCCATCACCAGGGCAAAACCTTTCACTTGTGTACACAAAAATCTATATCTCGTGGGGGACATTGGTTTCAATTCCAGCAGGCCCATTTGTAATTCCTAAAACCTTAGATACAGAATATTTAATTCAACAGGCAGCATGGGATAACATTTAGTGTACACTTTAATGAACCCAAAAACATGAATTGGTTTGGATCTAATCAACTGATGGCAAACAAACGTCACAGTGTCAGGGGGGGGTGGTTTATAAACAGAGCAAGCTGCAGGGGTCACTTGGGTATGAAAGAGGCTTTTAATACAAATGAATGTATTAATCCATCACTGAAAAAACTACAACAAAAGGAAGGCCCTACTTGTGGTTGAGGAACTAATGGTTCTCCATACTTGTGTGATTTATTTTAGTAATACAATTAAAATGACCTGTAATATGGCTAAAGGAAAAACTCAAGAAATATTGTAGTAATTAATATACAAACGACCTGTTCTATCTTCATATATGTGTGTTTTTGTGTATGAAACCTTTAAACTTGACTCATAAGAGCAGCGCATTGACACTATCTGTTAAATACAGTAGGATGTGAGCTGAAGAACGTTACGCATCACTAGCGAGCCGTTATGAATGTGTTTTTGACCTTACACCTTAATGCCTCTGCTGCCTGTCACACCTTCGTTTATCATGTCATCATTCAACATCATGATGTGCTTATCGCTATCTTTAACCTTAATTGAAACAGCCCCTCACCTGAGCTCATATCTTTGTGATGAAGAATACTTTTTAATGCGGTTACTTACCATCCTTCACATTTGTAACATCTGTCTTTTTTCTCTGGTGCACACGGTCATCTTGCCGTGTTTGTCACTGAGCATGTCTCAGTTATTATTTTTCTCTTACTTTGAATCTCTCACTTAATTCTCACTCAGTAAAAGCACAAGATGATTTAAGGAGAAAGCATCGTCTTGCCCTCCCACCGTTTGTTTCTCCCTACACCCTCCCTCTTGCAACCAGAGGGGATTGTGGGGTTTAGGGTTCCCGGTGAGGTGAGATGATTCAATATTAAGTTGTCCTGAGAGTTGACCCTGCTCCTGTGTCCCGCTCTTAATGCATCACTCTTCCTAAATTCCCCCTCCATCCTGGTAACCCTGAAGATATTGACACGGCCGTTCCCAGCCCATTACCTGCGGAGAGGGCACCGGCGCTCTTTTTTCATCCATCAGCTTCATTGGTAGAGACAAAGACAAAAGAGGGATGGAGGGCCAAAGGTATCGATTGTTGACAGAGGGGGTGTTAAACAGTGCCGGATCTCAAGGTGACACTGAAGTCTAAGAAACCCCAGAGGCTCGGTTGTGGGCAAATTTAGAGAGAAAATGGTTAAAACTGTTAACTTTAAAACTTAAACGCATCATCTACATCCTGTATCATTTCACCTCTATTTAAACCTGATTACAGTGAGGTCAGTTTGCCTTTTTTATTTTGACAAAGCAGCGGACAGTCAATTGTTATATTCAATGTTGTATTCAAAGCTGTCTGTTTTAATTCCCACTTCTCTGGTACTATGCATTTTTCGTAAGAACATCCATGTTTTAGCAGAACATTGAAAAAGTGCAGTGACCTTCACCGTGACCTCTAAACATTCACTGCGCCTATGCACTGGATCGGGCTTGCTGCCCTCAGGTTTGGCTGACCGTGCTGCTCTACCTAGCCTCAGGTTTTTCGTGTCAGGATGCACTTGGCATCACACCGAGTGTCAGAGTCAGAGTTCTCATGGCGTACGTATGAGGCTCAGACAGCCGTGTGTCCAGGCAGCTTGTTGCTGGGCTGCCGGGAATTGTTGGAGGAAGACGGGACAATAACTATGCCCCGAGGCAGTGAGGCTGCTTCTATCCAAGAGGCCACCTATTTAAAATCAACACATTCAGGAGGTTTCACATCTTTACTGAGCCCCTGTCAGAGATTTGGATCCTGCCTGGAGGGATGTTTAGGCACAGCAGGAGCCCTGAGGGAGGCAGGCAGAGAGACTGACAGTCTGACAGATAGACAGGGACGTGTCTCTGGACAGGTGAGTGCAGGAACAAGTCCATTATGTCACATGCACAATGTTGATATATCAAGCTGGTGTGTGCCTTTTATTATGTTCTAAAACTGAATAACATCAACTGTGATAAAAAGGTCATATCTGGACCATATTTCTTTGTCAGACAATGGCTTTTATCCAGTAGTAAACAAGTACTTTTTACTTTACCGACTTATTGTGCAAAGATAGCCATTCACAGATATATTGAAGGGGCAACTTTAGTGATATTTGTTACAAATTGACAGTGGATATAGCCTGCAGGAGGGCTGCTGAGTGGCGATGATGTCAGTCAGGGTGACATTATAAAGTACGTTAGGGCTGCAGGGATGGCTTTTGTTCTGGTGATGCTCCTGTGTGGTAAAAAGCTGTCAATCTCCAGCTGCTGGAAAACAACGAACCCATCCAAATGAAAGCTTTGACCTCGGTGCTAATAGCTAATGACAGCAGCGACCTCCGCAGCGTCTTGTGTTTCTCAAGCCCTCGCCTCGGCCCACATGAAAGGATGCTCTCGGGAGCTCTGTGATTAGCCGTGAGGTCACCGTTTTGATTTGGGCCGAGGTCACAATAACAGAGTGGCGCATCTTCTGTTTCTCCCCCCCCCCCCATGACACCCACATTCATGTGACACCCACTTAGGCTGAACACCAGGTCTACACTCTGACGATTACTTAAACTCTCCATTTTATCGTGTTCTCTGGTAATTATTTGGCCACTATGACAACTCAGCTTCCCTTGTTTCCAGTTCCTTTTTATGTATCCATGGCAGTAACCACTTCTTCCCCTTGACCTTCACAGCCCACCTGCTCACCTGTTCCCACTTTCCTCATCAGCTCATGTCCACTTACTTGCCAGATTGTCAAAGTTACTAATGGCGCATTTCCACTACACGGTCGGCCTCGGCCACACTCGGTACGGCTCGGTACGGCTTGGCCGCGTTGGGCCTTAACAGGGCCGACTCACTTCATGCTGCGCTTCCATTACAGTTTAGGAACTGGGGTAGTTACTATAGTAACGCAGTGTAGGTGGAGCCGTGACGTCATCTTCAATGAGAAGTCCAGAAACACAACACAGCCGTTAGCTGTTAGCACTCAGAGCTCACAGCTCCTTATATATGTTCA